TTCCTTGGAATGTACTCTGGTCCTGACTAACTTTTCAAACGTGGGACCATGCAGGAGACATGACCAGGATACATTTCACTACACTGGCCTTGTACCGTTGAGGAGAGCCAAGAAAAATAAAGTGAGCAAAGAGTCTTCTCACCTGACTCCCTTACACCTTACCGCTGCTGCGTCTTCCTCTAGTCCTGGAAGAGCTCCTCATTTCTTTGACTTTTGTCAGAGCTGCTTTTCTGTGGAGTGATTTGATAGAGGAGAGGATCAGTGACCAACTATGTCCTTTAGACTCAAAATATAAGCCGCATACATGGGTAACTTTTTCTTTAACACACCTCAACAGGAAAAGTTGTCTTCTAAGCGAGCCAAAGAGACCAGATGCCTGGAGTTGTGCTTTGTAATAGAGATGTGTGGTCACCGAGCCTTTGAAGCCTTAATATTTTGGCTACACTGATACAAGTGAAAATATTATGAAGCTAATTTCATCTTTTTTAAAATTTAAACAACATACATTTTTATTTACAACAAAGATAATCACTTGCTTGGACTTGAGCCCCATATGTGCGTCTCTCATGGGGAGCTGGACTGGACCACATGGAAGCTTTACCGTTACCTCTCAGCCTTCCATGGAGGCTGAGGCCAAAGGCTAGTCAGAGAACTCTCCTTCACGATGCCACTTTCCAGTGACTACTTGGCCCCAACTTGTCTTTCCAAGAGACCTTGCAAGCAGCAGACCACTCTTACCACGTCAGCTGCGCAAGAAGGAAACCCTTCTTGCCAAAACCTAACGCAGAGCTAACCTAGGGGCCCACTCTGTGCTTCCTTTTCCTTGGAATGTACTCTGGTCCTGACTAACTTTTCAAACGTGGGACCATGCAGGAGACATGACCAGGATACATTTCACTACACTGGCCTTGTACCGTTGAGGAGAGCCAAGAAAAATAAAGTGAGCAAAGAGTCTTCTCACCTGACTCCCTTACACCTTACCGCTGCTGCGTCTTCCTCTAGTCCTGGAAGAGCTCCTCATTTCTTTGACTTTTGTCAGAGCTGCTTTTCTGTGGAGTGATTTGATAGAGGAGAGGATCAGTGACCAACTATGTCCTTTAGACTCAAAATATAAGCCGCATACATGGGTAACTTTTTCTTTAACACACCTCAACAGGAAAAGTTGTCTTCTAAGCGAGCCAAAGAGACCAGATGCCTGGAGTTGTGCTTTGTAATAGAGATGTGTGGTCACCGAGCCTTTGAAGCCTTAATATTTTGGCTACACTGATACAAGTGAAAATATTATGAAGCTAATTTCATCTTTTTTAAAATTTAAACAACATACATTTTTATTTACAACAAAGCCAATTGAAAGAGCTACAAAAGGAAATCTTTCAAACATAACGCAAATTTACCAAGATAGTACTTACTTTCAACAAACATATTTTTCTATAATATAACTGTTTACAGAGTTTTTCATATGAATTGTTTCATCCCTCCTCCCCTAGAACGGTGTGTACAGTATGCAATCCTTTCCCTAAATGATGGGGGGTAGGGTGAATAGAATGTACAGATGCATACATACAGGATGCTTCTATAGGCATGAGACATCTCTAAAAGGATTCACAGAAACTCATAACAATGGTCACCTCTAGAGATGTGTCCTGAGAAGCTGGGATCAGAAGTGAGAAGCCTACTTGGCACTGCATGCCATTTTATACCTTTTAAATGTTGAATTCCATGAATGCAGTTTTAATTTTAACAAAAATGGGATCATACTATACACTGTATTATAATCTCTGTTATATGATGTTACAGCATCTTTCCTCAACATTCCCTCATGTATAGATTCTATGTCTCAGCTGTATGGCTCTCACAATTCTGTTAGTAAAGATATAACAACCTTGTGTCCTCCCACCAAACTAGTCCAGTCATTTGGATTCTCACTGGCAATTCCATCAGGCTTCCTTCGACATATCCTGAATCATATACTTACTCTGTGCCGGGCCCTGGTGGCTCAGATGGTGGAGAATCTGACTGCAGTGCCGGAGACCCAGGTTCAATCTTTGGGTTGGGAAGATTCCCCTGGAGAAGATAATGGCCGTCCACTCCAGTATTATTGCCTGGAGAATTCCATGGAGATGCAGATTTAGACACAACTGAGCAACTAACGCTTTAACCTTTCACTTTGTGCCAGGCACTATACTATATATACACATGTATACATATATATATATATATAATATATAATAAATGTACCACTCATTGAGTCCTATCAACAATTCTATGAGGCAGGTACCATGAATATTCCCATTTTATAAAATTTAAAACACAAAACTGAGGCTTAGAAAGATTAAATAACTTGTCTAAGGTCATAAGGTCACATATTCTAAAATCCATGCTCTTTTAACTTCTTTTCGTCCTAGATTGAACCCATTCGATCTAGGAGAGACAAGTCTCTGAGACTGAGTTTGTTAGTTCCTTAATTGATCTCAAAGCAGCAGCGTTGCTTGCATACATTTTTATGTGGTCTCAACAGTGAGGAAAAGAATGGTGAACCGGGCACTCCACCACACAAGATAAGTCCACAACACTAATAATCCTTCTCTGCCACAGCTGATGAAAATTATGCATAGCACATTTTACGTTACAAATTACAAAAGTCTCTAAAGTATATGTGCTTGTGAAAAACATATCGAACAGTCCATTCAGTTAATACACAAACAGTAATTACAATATTAAAAATTTTAAAACATACCTATGTACAAAGTTGGGGCTTCCCAGGTGGCACTAGTGATAAATAGCCAACCTGATGGCATATTTGATCCCTGGATCAGGAAATGGAAACCCACCCCAGGATTCTTGCCTGGAGAATTCCAAGGACAGAGGAGCCTGACAGGCTACACTCCACAGAGTCTCAAAGAGTTGGACACGACTGAAGTGACTTAGTATGAACCTGTGTACAAAGTTAGTTGTTCCATCAGTAGGGTCAATGATCCATGTAGGATTGCCAGTTAAGACACCTTTTTTTCCCCAACTGCCACAGATTACTCACCAATGAAACTGTGAGATGTATCAGTTCAGTTCAGTCGCTCAGTCATGTCCAGCTCTTTGCGACCCCATGGACTGCAGCACGCCAGGCTTCCCTGATCATCACCAACTCCTGGAGCTTGCTCAAACTCATGTCCATCGAGTTGGTGACACCATCCAACCATCTCATCCTCTGTCATCCCCTTCTCCTCCTACCTTCAATCTTTCCCAGCATCAGGGTCTTTTCCAGTGAGTCAGTTCTTTGCATCAGGTGACCAAAGTATTGGAGTTTCAGCTTCAGCATCAGTCCTTCCAATGAATATTTAGGACTGATTTCCTTTAGAATGGACTAGTTGGATCTCCTTGCAGTCCAACGGACTCTCAGGAGTCTGTCCAACACCACAGGTACTTTTCCTTTATGGAAGAGATAAGCATTTTTTCAACTTTATGATCAGTGTATGTTTGTGTTAGTTGCTCAGTCATGTCTGACTCTTTGCAACCACATGGACTGTAGCCTGCTAGGCTCCTCTGTCCATGGGATTTTCCAGGCAAGAATGCTGGGGTAGATTGTCATTTCCTCCTCCAGGGCATCTTCCCAACCCAGTAATCGAAGTTGGGTCTCCTGAATTGGCAGGCAGACTACCATTTGAGTCACCAGGGAAGCCAGTAGCAGTTACCAAATCAACTGGAGAGCTTTTAATCATAGCATTAATTTCATTTCTTAGAGCTTCATGAACCACCTCTCCAGCTTGTCTTGTTAGGGTTACTGCATAACCAATGCATTCATGCCAAGGATCAGCCATCTCCTCTTGCAGGAGGACATGAGGCTGGGACCCCGGCAGGATCCAATGCTGGGGTCTTCCAGAGGGAGAACTAATTTCAACTTTAGGGGGAAAAAAAGCACTATTTTAATGCTATTACCAGAAATGCTAAAATTGCCAGTTACTCACATTAATTTCTACTGGACAGAGCTATTCTATAGGCATATGTCATGCCCATAAATGAAGTCAGATTCAGTTGCAGGCTTAAGAACCATAGTGACCTTTGCCGTCACAAGTCTGAAATGAGTAGAGTTTGCTAGTAGTTACCTAATAGAACTTGTTTATTCACAAGGCTGTATGTGATAGAACCTGCTAGGGGCAGAAGTTCTATCATGGCCTTTACATTTACCTGGATATGAGAACATGGTGGAAGCATTCAGCCCTTCTTTCTGGAAAAATAAGGCCAGTTTTTAAAAGACTGATCGCCTCCCCCACATCTCCCAGGGTGCTGTTTCTTGCACAGCTCTTTGCTTCCCAGAGTCCCGAGTCTGACAGTGCCTGAGGCTTCTGTGCCATGTCACGCGGAAGGCACTCGGTCCCACCCTACGCCAGCTGCGGGCGCCACATGGAAAAGCCGTCCCATGTACACTATACAGAGTGTTTCTGAGGCCAGAAGGAATGTGGAAGAATGTGTAATTGATTTAGCTGTATCTTTTCCTTCCCTTTGAAAATTTTAATCATTGAAATACCTTTAGTCTATAAATAGAATCATGTAGGGAGATAATTCCGAGTCAAAACCAAATATGTACTTTTGTTTTTATATGGACATGGGGCTGTATATGGATGTATGAAGATGTAGGTTGACCATTTAGATACAGATGTGTTTGACTTTCCAATAAAATGTGTGGATGTATAGATGAATGGAGATGGTATGTGTCAAGCAGGATTTTTTTGTATTTGAAGCAAAGATTTCCTCCTTCTATAATAGTTGGAAAGAAAGTTCTGTTTCTGCTTCTGCCTGGTTTAGGTGCAGATTTCTCCTAAATGGCTGCTGAGGATTGATGGAGAAGGTCACTGTCTTGACCAAGCCCAGCCTTGGGGATGTGCCTTTCATCACTCAGAGCAGGGATCAGTGGACCCATGTAGGGATGGTACCAACTGAAGCCAGGCTTCAGGCTGTATTTGCCTTTGGAGTAACCGCTTTTCTTCTTTTCCTTCCACCTCTTCTAGGCAGAACAGGGCTGCTTGCTGATCTCTTGCCCAGTTTTGCTGTGGAGATTATGCCAGGTATTCAGTCATTTAACTCTGTATTTGCTTAATTTGCTACCCCTCCATCTGTCTTGCTTCTGCATTAGTTACTAATTGCTCCTTTAACTTATTTGCACATTTGTCTATATATGTCTGTGGCATTTTCCAGGATGAACTAAGCCCATTGGAAGAGCCTTGAAATTGTATTCCTTCTGTTACTAGGCCCTAAAAGAATAATGGTGATTAAAAATAGGCTGAGATGGGGCCCCAGTCCTTGTGTGGCAGGTATGCAGGCCCTTTGACAGTCTCAGTATCTTAGTTGCACCCAGTTGCTATAAGTATCTTTAATGGGGTTGTTATTTATCTGCATTCCTTGTTCCCTAAGTTTCATGTTTGAAAATGAAAGTGAAAGTCGCTCAGTCATGTCCAAGTCTTTGCGACCCCATGGACTATAGAGTCCATGGGATTCTCTAGGCCAGAATACTGGAGTGGGTAGCCTTTTCCTTCTCCAGGGGATCTTCCCAACCCAGGGATCAAACCCAGGTCTCCCGCATTGCAGGCAGATTCTTTACCAGTTGAGCCACAGGGAAGCCCAGGAATACTGGAGTGGGTAGCCTATCCCTTCTCCAGCCCCTCTTCCTGACCCAGGTATCAAACTGGAATCTCCTGCATTGCAGGTGGATTCTTTACCAACTGAGCTATCAGGGAAGCCCAAGTTTAATGTTTACCCATTCATTATTGTACAACCATGTTACTTGGAATTGCCTTTTATAACATCACCAAAACATTTTTTCAAACCTTATGAAAGCTATGTACCCCTCCTACCTTGAAAAGTACACATTTACAGGTCTATATTGCTTTCTATGCAATCTATATTGCTTTGTATACAATAACAAAGCAATAACAAAGCAATTTAGGACTTTTTGACCTCCTAACTCCCTGGGGTCCATGGACCCTATTGAAGGACACCTGCACCAAATGCACACCTCTGTCTTTCTCTGTAGCTTCTTTTGAACATATCAGCTAGACAAGCCAGCAATAGTTTGATGCTGCACTATAGCCCATCATGGAAGGAGCTCAGAAACAAAAATGAACTACGGGAGAGGACATATCCAAAGACAGAAAGTAGAAAAGGGTGGGATTCAGTTTTGCTTTGGAGGGCTTCTGCCAAAGGGTTAAGAGCTGACTAATAATTGAGAGCAACAGAAAGATATAAAATAATCCTGGTGATTGTTTTAGACTTGATTCAAGTTTTAAGAAATATCCAGAGTCCTCACAATTGAGCTTCACTCTTCTGTGAAATCTCCAGATGCTTTCCCATTAGCGGGTTAACCCAAACACAGACATTCTTCTTACTGATGTTGATCCCAAGATCACAAATAGAATTCCTTTGTGATCCACCTTATCCAGAGTTCAGTCAATCTGTACTCATTTTTTCATCAGAAAAAAACCCACAATGTTACACTGCATTGCTTCAAACTACATGTTGTATCTCCAAGTCCCAAGGAAAAGTTATTGTCTTTCTCATATCTGGTCCTGGTCCTCTGAATTTCCGTCCCTTCTGACTCCAAGAATCCTTTCATGGCTAACACTTTTTGTTTCTCCAGGGCAACCTGCCAGTCTTTAATCCTTGACTGCCTGACCCAAGTTGTAGCCACCACACCACACAGCTCTTGTAGTCCTCAGGGCCCATATCTATCTCAGGTCACACTGTGTTATTATGTCAGTGCAAAGGCAAGGCCAAAGCCTTCAACTAGCTACTGTCCTCAGCAGAAGCTCTTCCAGAACATTCTGGCCTTCTCACTTCCTGAGGAGAGGGTGCCCTGGTTAATTTGAGTGTATTTCTATTGCGTGAGTGAAGAGGGACACAGGAAATCGAAGTTGTGTGTTTTCTCTGAGAAAATTATGTTCTAAGCAAAGGTCAGATAACTTTATCATTATCACAAAACCCTTTATCTAACCAAAATGTCGTATTCTCAAGCTCTAAATGAATGTCCTATTTTGTTGAAGAAATATTTAATAACTAAAATTCAAACAAAATAATGTATACTTGAAATTGGTTGCGAAGGGATTTTTGGTAGATGGTTTTCAATCAAAATGAATCGCTTTAATCTTTTGCTTTGAAAGGAAATCATGGCTCATTCCAGTCCATCCCAGGCCCCCAGCAGGACATTAGGTCTTATAGCCAAGTCCCAAAAGCATGACATCAAGTCACTCATGGGCCACAGTCATTTTTATCTAAGAGAAATAGAATTTGTTTCCTTTCTCTTTATCTGTTGGATGGGCAAATGAATTAAATTCATATTCAGTCTCTGGCAGAGCTGTGAAAATAGCTGATGTTATCAAACATGGTCAGATATACACATTAGCCTTGCTGGTCATCACAGCCCGAGCCACTTTAGTCCGTGGCTACGCTGGCTATGTAGCGTGGTCAGCCTGCCTGTGACCAAACCATTCTTAGGGGACAGGGACAGCCTATGTCTCTAGTTTTTTCTAGGAAATGGTTTTAATCTCAGTTCTGATGCTGAGCACAGGAAAGGCGTCAGAGGCAGTCAGCAGAGAAAGCAGATGGCTACATAAGGGACCTGGACCGCCTAAAGGTGTTCTGATTTAGACCACATAGACACGGAGAACTTTTTCTCAGGACTTACACTATTAAGGGATAAGGTTAATTTGACTACAAAAGATACATATTCATGGAAATCACCACTTTATAGCCCAGCAAGCAAAGTCCCCTGTCCCCAGCCAGGAATTTCTCCGCTCTTGTCCCCTACCGATTCTGACACCACAGTCAGTAAGGTAAGCCCTCTCCCTGGGAAGGGGCCCTGAACCTGCTCCTAGCGTTTCATAGTGGACATGATGTGTGCTCAGTAGGACCTGGGTAACCGTCCCTGCCCTCCCCGCCCCAGCCCAGCCCAGGGAGGGCCTGCACCTCTCAGAGTCGGAGCCCCTCCTGAGTCTGGGGGCTCTGCGCCCCGTTCCAGGCTCCCTCTCCCAGGGAGGCCCCGGCGGGGGCTGCCGCGAGCGCGGGTCTCTCTGTGCGTCCCTGCAGAGTGGGTGTTTGTCGGCCTGGTGGTCCTGGGAGTCGTCCTCTCCTTCGTCCTGGTGGGGATCTGCTGGTGCCAGTGCTGTCCTCACAGCTGCTGCTGCTACGTCCGCTGCCCATGCTGCCCCGACTCCTGCTGCTGCCCTCGGGCCTGTGAGTAAGAAACGCCGCCTTCCACCAGGCAGCTCTGTGCCCTGCGCGCCTCATTCGCCAGCTGTCCTTCCACCCCAGAACACATCATCCCAGACTGCCCTCTGCCGGGAGCCCCTGACTTCCTGAGATGACCATTCCCGTTTGCCTTCTCACACACAGGCACCTCTCCATGCCTTTGATCCACACTTACGTCCCTGCATTTGGAGTTCTCTTAACACTACTGATGAAAGGAAGGGCAGGTTCAGGATGGTGAGGTTGTGGGGTAAGGCTTTTGCCCTCTCCTTGGGCATCCAAACTAGAGAACACTTTCTCTGGCCATGCCTCTCACGTGCAGAGAACTCTTCTTTTTACCAGCAGTATGTGCAAAGTATAGCCTTTGGGTCCCCTCCGGCCACAGAGGAGTCTTATTTACTCCTATGACAAAATGGTCCACAAAGGAACTCGTCCTCATTTGGGGATTCACAATTTTACCTCCCTGGCAGCCCATATAGGCATTAAGTTTGGCACCACTGCCGTAAATATCTTGAAGGAGAAAGACACAATATGTATCTTTACTATCCTTAGGAACACTGCGGATTCTATGAGGCATCAGGTTATCTGCTCTGGTTTTGAACTCAAAGAGCAGGGCCATGTGTCAGCGCATGGCTGGCTTCACCTCTCTAGAAGAGGTCTGGATCTTCTGGGCAGTCCGAGTGCTAGGCCTCCTACAGAGGCTGAGGCAGCCTACATTCAGGGTGGTTAAGAGTGGGCTGCTACTGCCCCAGGGGAGGCTGCTGTGTCAGCTCCCAGCACCACTGAATGACTCAGTTGCCAGGTGCTACTAAACACTATAATCCCTCATGTCACTGCTGGAGGAGTCCAAGGGAGTTGGGGAGAGTGCTTCCAATGAACCGAGTCAGGCCTAGTAGAACACACACATACGTGAGCCCGCGCCCGCGCATACACCCAGGAGCTCCCTTAAGCGCATCTGCAGGGATTCTTGATGTGAGGGTTGTGGAGGGTGGAACGATGTAATCTCTCTTGCTCTTCATCTCCCTCCACAGTGTATGAAGCAGGGAAAGCAGCAAAGGCCGGGTACCCTCCCTCTGTCTCCGGTGTCCCTGGCCCTTACTCCATCCCCTCTGTCCCCTTGGGAGGAGCCCCCTCATCTGGCATGCTGATGGACAAGCCGCATCCACCTCCCCTGGCACCAAGTGACTCCACTGGAGGAAGCCACAGTGGTAAATGCAGTTCCAGACTGTCCTGCCCCACGCTCCTATCGGGCTTCCACTCTGATTCCTTGCTGATGAGAACCATCAGCTCAGTGATGCTTCTGTGGACAATGATTATCTCCATTCTGGAAATGGGATCCTGACAGCTGGATCAGATATCTCCTGAAATGCATGTCAAGCTTGCCAAGGGCTACAGGACATAGTTGCCCCTTGCTTTCTTCCTGGGCCCCACAATAACTAAAATCATAAGAAAAAGAGACAAGGTACCCCCTGAATGTTGATCATTCAGTTAATAAATAGTTATCTCTTCCACGCCTAGTGCTCAGGACTTAACCGGGTCCTCTGAGGAACACCCAGAAGTGTAGGACATGGTTTGTCTAACCAGCAGTATGGCCCAGCCAGGCAAAGAGAATGGACCTTTACTAGACAATTAGATGCTACAGTGTATGTACTGGGAGTTCAAAGAAGAAAGAGCTGGAATGCTTACAAAGTCTTCAGGGAGGAGGTGAGATTAGAGCCGGGCTTAGAGGAGTGAGAAGGATTAGGAAAGCAGAGACACTCACAGGCCAACATAGTGGAAACCCAGAGCTAAAAGAACAGTGTGTGTGTTTGACCAGCTTGTTGGTCTGACTGGCAGACCACGGAAGAACATGGTGGAGCGAGACTAGGCAGGGCCTTGGAGCCCCTCCAGAAGAGCCTGGGCTGGTGCCGCAGCAACCGAGAACCCCTGCAGCCAGGCCAGCGGCAAGGCGACATGCTGACAAAGTGCTGAGTAGCACACAGGAGAGCCACAGACCTTGAGCCGAGGCGTGATTGATAGGTTTCAGGTGGGACATTATGATGCAGACAGAGGGAGCTGAGTGGTAAATCTGAGAGACGCTTTGACAGAGCAAGCAGTCAGATGTTGGAAATCTTTAGCATGAGCCCAAGTTGTCTAGTGGTGTATATCCTAGACAGAGAAGAAATAACTGGTAAGGAGAGTTTATTTGGATGATGATTAGCACCACTGAGGGCATGATAAATTTGTTGTTATAGCCAAGGGCAGAAGCGTATATGGGCATTAAAATGGAGCTTTCCTGGAGGCATCTGAACAGGACTATACAGAGTACCAACAGTCAGAACTGTGTACAGAATATATTTAGGAGGTGACTTTTAAATCCCTAGATGTAAATGAGCCACAGGGTTGGTGAAACAGGGGTTTCTCCCCTGGAGGGCTCTGGACAGACTTGAGTGGGAAGCGGGGGAGAATGTCTAGTTCGTTCAGTGACCTGTCAGTGCTCCACCATGGAAGGGGGTGGGTATCCCCAGTGAGTAATTGGTACTTGTGTTTTTTCTCTCTCAGAAACTATTAGTAGAATTCTGATGTATGAGATCGGGAATGAGTCATAGACTGAGAAGTAAAAGTTAATCATCAAGGACACACAGGGCATTAGAGAAATAAAAACAATACAGTCCACTTTCCCAAAGGATGCAGAGGGCAAAAGAGGCATTAATAGGACATGTCTCTGCCTCTTTCTCCCAATCTTCTTTCTCTTTCCTTCCCACCAGGACCCTTCCCCTTTAGTTTTTATTGAGTAGATTCTCTTAATAAAATGACTATTATTTATAGGATGGCAAATACTTCTCTCCTGTTTTCAACTTTTTTCCAGTTCCTGCTTGTTGCAGTTCAATCATTTTGACTCCATCCTGCCATGCTAACCAACTGTAGTTAGAAGTGGCTTAAAAAAAATAGGAAAAAAATATGAGTTCACATAGTGAGAAATTCCAAGGTAAGGTGGTTCTGGGGTTGGTTAATGGAAGAGTTCAAGTGGCATCACTGAGAGACCTGCTTCTTTCCATCTTTCGTTCAGCATCTTGAGTGCATCCTCTGTTCTCCTGGACTCGTTCCCCTCCAGATCCCATGATGACTGCCATAGTCTCAGATACTATATGCATTCAGAGATGGAAAAGATGACGCTTCTTCCTTGTGCTTCTTTACCCAAAAGGGAGGAAGGCTTTTCCATAAGTCTCCTTCCCTTCCAGCAGACTTCTACATGTCATTTTATTGGCAAGAATTATGTCCTGTCTCCATTCCTAAACCATATTGACTTGGACCCACCAGGACTCATCTCTCAGGCCAAAACACCTATTCACCTCAGAAATGAACAGTCAGAATTCTGTTAGCCAGGAAAAAGGGGAGGATGCACAACCAGCTTTGGCCACAGCTAGTCTGGCTCATGTTAGCTGGCTTACTGAGTCAGAAGTGAATTCTTCATGATCCCTACCAGGCACATTTCTGTACTCATGGTCCCATGGACAGAATTACTGATGGCATTTAGCTATTTCTCCTTTAAGAAAGGTGGCTTAAGCCAGCGTTCCATGCAGACTGTTTTTCAAAGAATGTTAGAAGTGTTAAGAAATGCTGATTTAAAACATGTAAATTTAGCCTATTTTATATTTTTATGCTACTTCAATTTTAGGGTAATCATCTAGCAACAGTAATTTTTCAGATTACATTTGTACACAATACTCTTTGAATGTTCTGTATAGTTGAAAAGGCATCTTTGATGAGCTATATATAGTATAGCCAGTTAGTTACCAAAAGGGGGAGAGAGAAGAGGAATCCTGATTCCTCCCCCCATTCTTCCTAGCAGCTATTTATTACCTCTTTACAAAAAAAAAAAAAAAAAAAGACTGTATCCTTCTGCCCTGCTCTGGATCCATTGCTTTGTCAAGGTTCTCTTTCTATTGAATCTCCAAATCCCACCCCATTCCCACCTCCTGTGTCTGGCCTTTCCTTCTTTAGTGACTTCTTCCTGTCAGCATTCAATACATGCTCAGATCTCTCGCATAAAAACACAACAATTTGCAAAAACCCTTAGTCCTCTAATGCTGTGTCCCTGTCCACTTTCCCCTCTTCACAGATAAACTTCTTGATAGAGTTTTGAATATTTAATATCTCCTTTTCCTCTCCTCAGCTAACTTCTGTCTTGCTGTCACTTTTACCTCTCCAAAGACCAGCTCTTGCCGAGATTGCCTTATCGCTAAATCTAATGGATGCTTCCCAAAGCTTGCCTCCCTTGACTTCTCAACAGCATTTGCCACTCCTAATGATACATTCATATTCTTTGCCCTCCTCAACACTGTGTTTTGTAGCTTTCCCTAGCCATTTCGCTATATGCTGGCTGTTCTTCTCTGCACATCCCCTAGATGCTGGTGTCTCTGTTTTGTCCAAGGTCCTCTCCCTGGGAAATCTTACCTTGTGCATGGCCTCAGTCATCACCTGTATGCTGATGACTGCCAATCTTTATGTGCAGCCTCTCTCCTGTTCCTCATCCCACATATCCAACTGCCTTCTGGACATTTCTACCTTAATGTCTTTCAAGCATTTCCAATTCAACCTCTATCTAGGAAAGGGAATTCATCTGCTGTTTCTCAACCTCAGACCAACTCCAGCATTTCTTATTTCAGCGGATGGCACTGTTAGCCACCTAGTAGCCCCAACCAGAAGCGGGGACTTGATCCTTATCCCTTCCTGTTCTTCACTTCTCTCATCCAGTTGGTCACAAAGTCCTTCAGATAAGCTCTCAAAATAACTTTGAATTGGACCATCCCTACTCAACTATCCTAGTCATTGCTGCCATCATCTCTTCCCTTGCTTGAATCCATTTTATTTTCATATCTACCTGGTCTTCACTCATCCTTCTTACAAAAGAACTGAATAGGCAAGTAGGGTTTTAAAATGTCATTTTTCAAACTAATAAGGATATATGCCTACTGTATGTATACAGAGAATATGCAAATTTTAAGCATCACTTCTCCCACAGCTGAGCTGCTATCACCCTGGGGGTGGAATCTGGCAGCTGTTCCATTATCCATAAACAGTCTTCCTTAGCTTATTAAGATAGGACAGGAAGAACAAGGCTACATACCCATGGATATCTGCCTCAGACGCTTTTGCAAGTTCTACAAATTGGATTTGGTGTTAAAGGGGCAATTAGCTGAAAAATAGTTGAATCTTGATTGGATCAGAATTATCAGCTCTAATCTTTTAACAATAAGAATTTTTAAAATTTGGCATCAAAATGAATACCCCAATATTCCTTCTCCAGTAAAAATCAAAGCTGGTGAGGCTAGTAAATTAGAGGAGCTGAAGTATGAAAACCACACCAACCAAAGGACTTGGGCCAGGCTGAAATTCAAAACAGAAATAAGTCTTCCACTGACCCTGAACTGAAACAGTATCAGGAAAAAAAGTCATTTTCCAAAAAATTCTGGTCTGTGGCCAATAAAGATATTGTAGGATATTTGTTATTAAATATTGTAGGATACTTCTTTTTAAAATATCACCACACCTCAGAGACCTCTCTGATCTAAATTACAGATAAAAATCAGCCCAACACCATTCTGTTTTCAAATCAAGAAAAATTTAATGAATGCCTACAAACTTTTTCTCAAGGAGTTTACAACCCAGCAGAATGGTTTTGGGGGGCTTGTGAATGGAAATAAAATGAGTGAAAACTAGAAAGGAGCATGTGATAAGACTGACCTCTGATGTCAGCTCAGAGAAGGCAAAGGCTCATCTGCTTAGAGGGATCAAGAAAGGTTTTCTGATGTTTTCTCTGCTCCTGAGCATATATGTGACGCAGAGTCAGTTCCTACCACAATGAGAGAATTAGTTATAGTGTGCTGCCCAATCAAATTTACAGCTTTTGATTAAAAAAATAAAAATCTTTTCAAGGGAGAAGGGCCCAGCTTTCTAACTGCTGAAACCAGACGGACGATGCCTCTGGAGTCTACCAGTGCTCCAGTCTGCCCTTTTTGACAAAGGAGACTGATTTAGATTTCTGAAATTATGACCTGGTATGACTGAGAATAAAAGCTGAAAGTACTGGGCTGGCCTAAAGGTTTGTTCAGGTTTTTCATAAGGTGTTACAGGAAAATCCAAACACACTTTTTGGCCAAGCCAATATATAGCACAGTAATGTCTCTTTATGATGCCAGTACTGAAAGGCAGAGCTGACATCTTCATCTGAGACTGTAAATAGTTACTGTAACTTTTCAGAGGCACGGTAACCTATGCATACATGATCAATCTGTGTCATAATTAGGAGCGTAAATTGTTATAATGACACAGAAAGCAATCTAAGCTCCAATCCAAGTTGCAGTTAAGGGAGATTTCCAACTGTTGCTTGAGGTGGCGGCCTTCTCTCACCACCAGGGGACAGCTGGTACACTGTCCCATACAGCAGTACTCTTCCCCCTTTATCTAAGTACTACTGAATGTCTGCCCTAACAGTGCTTCACATATTAAGAACACCTAGATAAAGACACAGCTGCAGGTAGAGCAGACCCCGTCTTTAAGGCCTGTAAACATGCTCCTTTTCTTAACTAAAACGTTGTTGTTACATTCCCTAAGTTGTGTCCGACTCTCCTGCAACCCTATGGACTGTAGCCCGCCAGGCTCATTTGTCCATGGGGTTCTCCAAGCAAGAATACTGGAGTGGGTTGCCATTTCCTTCTCCAGGGGATCTTCCTGGGACCAGGGATCAAATTTGCGTCTCCTACACAGGCAGGTTGATTCTTTACCTCTGAGCCCCTAGGGAAGCAGACTAAAAATATAATCATCAATAAAAATAACAAAACTTGCTTAAACCTTGCTGCTCCCTCAAGCTACCATTCAAGGCTTCCCCTTCCTGTTCAAAATTCTCCAACACACCCATCGCATGTCTCTTCTGCCTTACTTTGTAATTCCTTGTAATAGAGTTTCTATTCCTGATTTTCCTTTCATTCATTCATTCATACAAACTCACATGTTTGGGGTGTCTGCAATGTGCTAGGCTCTACGCTAGGTGCTCAGGAATCATAGATACACAGAGAGAACTGGTCCTTGATCTCAGGAAGTCTACAATCTAGAGAGAGAAATTCTACTGTAAATAATCTTTCTTAAGAAAGCATTAACCTCACACCCATCCCCAGGCTGGCACCATTTCAGCTCAACTAAACACCCTATGTTTGTTTAGGAATATACCCTGTGTAAAGCACCATCCTGGGCTTTACACTGAGCTAGAATGATAAGCATTCTTTTCCCTCAAGAACCTTTCAGAAGATTAGACATTTATACAAAGCATTTGAAACAAATAGGAATATATTAAGGGACATATGATGAAAGTTCAAAGTAAATGATTTGTAATTTGGGGGTTGGATAGAGAGAGAAAAGAGAAAACTTTTCTAGCTAGAGAAAAAGAAAGCTTTTTGGATGAGATGTTGTTTGTGCTGCCCCTAATAATTACAAAGAATGCAAAGTGCTCCACTGAGTTGGTCTTTCTTGTCTTCTTTCTTTTTTTCCTTTTTTGGTTTATGTATTTGTCTTCTCTGACTTATAAGATTATTTAAAAGGTGAAAATTATTAGTTGTATTTTGTAGACATGAAAACTGAGTCCTGGATAGGTCACCACTTATTTGAGGTCCTTGTGGCCCACAGGGTGCCAAGTTCCCCACTCCCCAGCCCTGTGTTTTATCCATCAGACACAAATGCCTCAGAACAGACATAGCAGTTCCGTGGGATAATTGCATTTTAATTGAACTGTCTGTGCCTCTCTGTAAACGCCTCTGCAGAGATGGAAGGGTGCGGAGGATGATAAATAAAACCATTTCTGCTAATAATTGCTTCTGCATAGGGATTAAGGATCTAACCTCTGGGAGAAGGTGTCACTAAAAAGCGTGTGCTGAGATTCATTAATTTTTTAAGTAATTCCACAGTTGAAGCTGCATGTGGACTGCCCATCCTGTGCTTCTGTAGAAAACCAGTGCACCTGCAAATGGGTGTGTGGGCGTCTTCCCAGTTTTCAACACCAAGGCTGTGATTAGAGTTGGTGAAAGATGATATTTTAATCTTCCACATACATGCTTGTGTAGGGGGCTATGTCCACAGCGGGGGAACATAACCAGAGAGCAGAGAGCAGAACGCAGACCTTTCTCCAGAGACGCATGCAGTTGTTTGGTTTCTCTATGGTATTTCCCCTGCTCTGGGAATAGAGAATGTTGCGGGTGGGTCATCTGCTTCCATCCCCATTGTATGGTCCTGACTGGTTACATGGTAGGATAGTGCCTCGGATGCCCAAGGTCCACCTCTGGGTTCTTCCTTTTTGTCTTCCTTTTGTCTCTCTCTGCTGCTTCTGGCCCCAGACTCCAGACAGACAAGAGGCCCAGTGTGGTTGGGCTTCCTTCAGACTACATTCCAGTACCAGCACTGCCACTTATTGCTGAGCAAGTTATAAAACTTCTCTGAACCAAAGTCTCCTCGTCCGTGAAATGTGGCTGCTAACAGCTAACTCATTATGCAGATTTGAGGACTCAGGGACCACGGAAGGCATGTAGCACAGTGCCTGGCACGTTCCAGTGCCCGAAAGTGTTGTCTGTCACCCGTGCTGCTCTGTCCCCACCCCAGTCCTTTCTCTTTCTTGCTTTCTCTTTGTCTTATCTGTGAGTATTAGACCTGCCTATGTCTGATCACCTTGGGGCTGGTATTGCATTAGATTGATGCTTAAGCGATACCAGGCTTCAGCAGCCTTTGTCTCTGACACCATGAATGATGAGAATGTGGACGATGGTATTCTCTCTCATGCTTTATTTTTGTTTTGTTTTTATTAAGCCCTGAAAATAGCACCTGCCTGTAACCACACTGCAGCAGGTTGACTTAATCATGTCTAAAATATGGTATTCCCTTTCCTAAGGGGAAAATGCTAAAGAAATAATAATGGAACCGTAACTTGTAATCCATGTATTTTGCATTTTATTTTGTTCTAATGTGTGTAAAGCCTGCAATCTAATATTAGCTTGTATGCATCACCTAGTTATGGAATTTTTGTACAATCTCCCAGGCAACTACAGGTTTTTAGGCCACCTGTGTGAAGGTCTCTGACGTTTCGGTATCTGTTTTAAAGCTACATGTGCTTCCACCAAGTGAAGGTATGATCCTCAGACTGTAGAGTGATCTGTATGCCTAGTCTAGAAAGTGGTCTTTTTTAGTGTGAGTATACTCCCCCAGACTTTGAGAAGATGATCTTTAAGTGGAGCTGTAAGTGGTCAGGAAGTAGGAAGGAGAGGTCAGGTTACTGGAACAGAATTCTTTGTTGATGTGCCAATCCTCCTTTCTAATGGAGCCATCTGATAAAGGGTATGGTTCCATATATAGAAAAATAGGTTACTATTTCTGGGTGATTTCAAAAAGAGTTGTTATATCTGGGACCCATGTTTGCCACCGGTAAGTTACATGGAAGTCACCTTTTCCTGATTTTTTTCAGCTTACTATCTTGTTTGTTTCTCAACAGTTCGCAAAGGTTACCGGATCCAAGCTGATAAAGAGAGAGACTCCATGAAGGTCTTATACTATGTCGAGAAGGAGCTGGCTCAGTTTGATCCAGCCAGAAGGATGAGAAGCAGATGTGAGCATCTGTTAGTTTTATGTGATCTGTGCATCATGCTAAAAGGGATTTGGGGGTGACCATACATGGGGAGCCCTCAACTTTCAGGGTCAGAACTAGTAGGAGTGCTGGTAACACCACCCTAAAGAAAGTAGCTTTGAGTACACGGAGGAAAGAAAAAAGGGGTTCTGGTATGAAGAATAGGGTGGTAACAGGGAACTATATTCAATATCCTGTAATAAACTATAATAGGATAAAAAAAAAAGAATAGCGCAATCATGTACCATCTTGGCTTCTGTTGCCTCTTTCCATGGGGCAGTCAGTATTGCTGAGCTGTGCAGTGGGATTGGAACCATTTTATTAAAACAGCCTTTCCCTACTACTTCCTTTAAAATACATTCAAAATAATGGCTTACAATGTGGAAGCTTCAATATCAGTTTTTTCCAACATGAAAGGCCCAGTTCTTTCCAACATGAAATGCCCTAACCTCGAATGACAGTCCAGCAGCCAACCTGCCATATCAATGAAAGTAAAAGAACAAGTCTGCCAAATGAATCTCGTAAAAAAGATGCCTACATTCCTTTCAGATACCCAGTGGCAGAGACTGAGGGGCAAGCAAAAAGTCAAAAGAATGTTTTACTTATTGAGTCTGTAAGCAGCAGGGCCCCAACCCTTAACTCACCCACAGACCTTGGAGACTTTGCAGCTGACATAGCTGATTCTTGATTTGGACTCCAGATTACTATCTATCATGAAAAGCAACACAGGGCAGGTCTGACATGGATGGGCTAATTACCAGAGGTGCTGGCAGGAGTGGGAATGTGGTCACTACGCTTCTCTCTTTGAACCCTCCTTGCCTTGGAACCAACCCGAGACTCAACGGCATTGTTGGGAAAACAGTCCCAGACTAGAGGAACTTTATTCAGATTAAGGACAACATATTCCTCCCAGTTTGCAACTCTAATTTCATCCTGTCTGAGTTGCATCCATTGCTACCTCCTCCCACCACACTGGCTATAAAAAGACCATCTCCAGATTGGAGTGTCAGGAATGCAGATGTCACTGCGCTTGACAAGCGAGTTGTAACAGTGTTGTCATGGATCCCTGTAAGGGGACAGACAGCAGAGGTAGTCAGAGTTCGCAGAGAAGGAGCCCATGGAGGAAATCTGTGAACTCACAGCTCAGAGGAAAAAAAAGAGGTTAGAAATAAGGGGTGGATCCCGGTTTAGGTGATGTCTCCCGTCAGCCTGGATTAAAGTGGTCTCCAAAGGCCTGGCTGGCCAGAAGGTAATGACCAAGGAATCTTAGAGTCCAAGGGGTGGCCTGGGTCAACAGATGAAGAAACAAAAGCCCAGAAGGTTGAAGTGACAATATCAGGACTACAACCGAGGTCTGCAGATTGCCGTCCTGTGCTTTTCTGCTCAACTAGAAACTTTGGAGCCAACTGTGGATGGTGCCATTGGCTGCAGTGGCAGTTTATATTCAAAGCTCGCAGCTTTATAACCCTTAGGACTTTAGGATGTTGGAGCTGGAAGAGACTGAGATTGTTGAATCTACCTCCCTCATTTTATGGAGGAGGAAAGGGAGGCCGAGAGGGAAAGTAACCAGTGCCAGTACTTATTGCCAGTGCCAGAATTGGAGCCCAGAGCTCCTGAAACCTGCAGGTTCACATTATAATAACTGCACAGAGATGAAGTAGAAATCTAAGTTCTCTTTACTTTGAGAGGTTCTATCCCTAAAGAGCAAAGTAAACCCTGGGGTGGATCGTGGCCATGGGATAGTCTTGAAGATCTCATCTCATAAAATGAGCCACACTTTTCAGGTGTGGCAAAGGAGTAATAGATTCTGAGAAATGGGAGAAATTCAGGCCCATGAATTTCCCAGAATGTGTGATCCTCATTCACCTACTCTTTTTAAGTAGGGGGTTACTCTGGGGATATTTTAGTCTGGAATCAGCAAACCACAGCTCCCAGAGCACATATGTTCCACCTCCTATTTTTGAAGTAAATTTTGTTGGAACATAGCCATGCCAATCTACTTGTCTTATCTATGATTCCTTTCATATTGCAATAGCAGAGTTGAACAGTTGTGACAGTAAGACTTGCAAAGCCTACAGTATTTACTATCTGGCCCTTTACAGGAAAAGTTTGCCTCTCCTGCCCTAGAGTTCCATTATTAGGTGTCTCTGAAGTGGGGGATGTTGATGTTCATGTTCACTGTGGCAGAAGTTTCAGAACAGCATACAGCCTGGACCATCCATCATATGAATGGAGAAACATCTCTTCCTCACTATCCAAAGAGATGGAAAATGTCCATTATTCCCTGAAGTTTAAGGCAAATTCTGAGCCAATAATGTAATTTTTCAATAAATACACTTGGTGCATTTTAAAGTTCTCTTCTGTATGGTTCCCAGAAGACTGGAATTCACTGGCATCATGAGAAAAGGAAGAATCTAGATTTTATTAATCAATAGGATCTGAGTTATTTCCCTTTAAAATAGGCAGGCACTAGACCATTCTTGCGAGGAGGAAGAGACTTAGATTATAATTCAAAACCAACTGATCACATGACCAAACTGAATGGCATTCCTGGGCAGCCCTGTGTCCTGGTCAAATGGGACAAGGAGGTTGTGTTTATGCCGTGCAGGGAGGCCCTCCCTTCCCTGCAGGGGTGGGAACCAGCAAAATTCCTCTGCTCCCCTAAGGACTGTTGGGGATGGGGAGGAGATAAGGTAGAGGGGAACCTGACGCACACTTGTGCTTCCCACATCTGATCCTAGTGTACCTCTCATTCGGCAGCCAGGCCCTACACCTTATAATTGTTGATTTTGATAATAGTTTGAAGTTCAAAGGATTTTTAGAAAACAATGGATTCAATTACATTACAAATAGCTTTGCTAGATTTACTTTTTCAGTAATGTGAAATTCAATCCATTTCAAAGTTTTATAAATAAATAGTTTCTTTTTTTTTTTTCCTTTCCAGATTGTGATTCTGGTCCTTATTCACAAGTGCTTTTGCGAAAAGCTACTTAGGCCACCCTAAAAAATGAGAAAGTTATGACCACCCCCTCCTTTTTACATTTTTGGGCTGGGACCAGAGCATAAGTGGAGGCCCATAAACCATAAGTGCAGCCTAACCTTCCCCTTTTCTTCCTACACTTCCAAACAGCTATCCTGGCCATCCGTGGCCACATATACTTGAATAGTCTGGGGAGTGAAGAGGTCTACTCAAGCCACAGAAATGGACTTGGTACTGTTCAGGGAAAATATTCCAGGTTCCCGGATGAATGTCCAGAAGCAGGGTGTGCACACTCTCTTCGTCCCGTGGACTCCATGCTCTGTGGGGAGGGGCACAGCAGCAGCTGGGACGGGGTGCATGTGAAGCACCGCATGGGACTGGCTCTGAAGGCTCCATGTTGGGACGCAGATAACAGCAGGGAAGACACTGTGATCCATGGCTTTTCTCTCTTTTTGCTCCTTTTGCCTCATGCCTGGGATCATCATGGCTCTTCACTGATTTAAACAAGAAGAAGCAAAACATTTGAGCAAGGATGATGATATACTAGGAGGAGACCAGCTGCAGAGAGCCTAAGTTCTGGAAAGCCTGCCTTAGGTGGAACAATAACAATTGTTTTCCTATTCCAAGAACAGAGCATGTGGGAAGCCTCCCTCCCTGTAGGCAACTAGGCTTCCAACTGAAGCCAGTTCCTGCTGAGCTGAGAACACAAATACCATTAGTTCAGGTCTACAACCCACCCTGGACAGGACTGAGACCCTCGGGTGGGAGTTTCCCAAAGCTTCCAGTCTTAGCCCTTAACCAAGTTCCTGTTCTGTCCTCCAGGTAGAAAGCTCTGTCATGCTTAGTTTTTGTCCTTGCAGATAACAACACCATCTCGGAACTCAGCTCTCTGCATGAGGAGGACAGCAGTTTCCGCCAATCTTACCATCAGATGCGAAACAAGCAGTTCCCTGTGTCTGGGGACTTGGAGAGCAATCCTGACTACTGGTCAGGTGTCGTGGGAGGCAGCAGCGGGGCAAGCCGGGGGCCCTCGGCCGTGGAGTATAACAAAGAGGATCGGGAGAGCTTCAGGCACAGGTGAGGGTAACTGGCAAGGCAGCTCTGGTGCTGGGCGCGAGGAGGCGAAAGCTGGGAGGCAGGATGGGTCTGAGGCTTCGAGGATCCGAGAACGGCTCTGTCTGCCCTTCTAGGTTATCCTGCCGCATCTCTCTGTGGCTATTGAACATCCCTTTCCCACATGTATTAAGCAAGGGAACACGAGGCACCATGTGCAGAAGTAATCAGGTCAAATGCCAATTATACTGTTGGATTTGATTCTCATAATTCTAAAAGGCAGGTACTATTAATGTCCTCCCAGTTTTAAGTTGGGGAAGCTGAAACTTAAAAAATCCTGAGGAACTTGCACAGGGTCACGTGGTCAGGGAATGTGAAGAGACAAGATGTGTGCCTGGTTTGGTATGGCTGATGCCCACGATAGCGCTTTCCCCACTCACCTGTCCTTTATATTGAAGGACAGTAGATACCCTCTTCTCTCAAAGCACCAACTGCGGGTCCCTCTGGCCTGCTGCCCCACGAGGTAACTTGCCCTCCGCTCTGAGGAAGGAAAAGGCCTCTCTTTATCACCAAATATCACAGGGCTCCGTGGGCCACAGCTGTTTGGACAGCAGGCCACATTGCCCATGCCGGCTTTGAGGGTGTGAGAAGTGAGTCAGGAGGCTGTCAGCCAGAGGTCATACCATAGTGGCCAAAAGAAGGCCCCACGTGTGTTTCAGCACCGTGTAGATCACAAAGTAGTTTTATTCACACAACCCCTTAATCCGTAACGCTAACTCACCAGACGGACGGACGCCTTGACTTGGCTGTGATTCTGAGGCGTGAGAGCTAACTCACCAGACGGACGGATGCCTTGACTTGGCTGTGATTCTGAGGCGTGAGAGGTGCCTGGGGTCATGCATCCAGCCAGGAGCAGAGCCGGGCCTCCGGCTGCTCAAACTCCTGAGCGGGGCCCGACACGATGGGGTCCTTAGATCCCAGCGCAAGCCCCCTGCCTCGCGCGTCTGACAGGTCGTGGGTACCTGGGCCTTCCAAGGACTGACCGGCGCCTCCTCTGCCCGCAGCCAGCAGCGCTCCAAATCGGAGATGCTGTCCCGGAAGAACTTCGCCGCTGGGGTGCCCGCCGTCTCCATGGATGAGCTCGCGGCCTTTGCCGACTCCTACGGCCCGCGGTCCAGCAGGGCGGACGGCAACAAACAGGAGCTGCGATGCGGGAGCCGCTTCGAGCGCTCGGAGGCGCGGGCGCACGGGGCCCTCTACCAGGACGGCTCGCTGGAGGAGTACTATGGGCCGCGGAGCCGCAGCCGGGAGCCCCTGACCGACGCGGACCGCGGCTGGTCCTACAGCCCCCCGCGCCGGCGGCCGCCGGACGACGCGCACTTGCCGCGCCTGGTGAGCCGCACGCCGGGCACCGCGCCCAAGTACGACCACTCGTTCCGCGGATCCGGGCTGGAGAGGCAGGTGCGGCCGGAGGGCGCCAGCCGCGGCGGCAGCCTCGAGACGCCGTCGAAGCTGAGCTCGCAGCTCGGCCCTCGCAGCGCCTCCTACTACGCCTGGTCGCCGCCGGCCACCTACAAGGCGGGCGCGCCTCCGGACGACGAGGAGGACACGCCCGACGACACGTTGCCTCCCTACAGCGAGCTCGAGCTCAGCCGGGGCCCGTCCTACCGCGGCCGCGACCTGCCCTACCACAGCAACTCGGAGAAGAGGAGGAAGAAGGAGACGCCCGTGAAGAAGACGGTGAGGCCCAGGCGGCCTCCCCGGGGGCCGGCGGGCACAGTCGCCAGGGGGCCGCGGGGCTGGGGAGGAAGGCGAGCAGAGCGGGAGGGCCCGCCATAGATGCGCAGACGCCGGGTGGGGCCCGGGTGGAGAGAGCAGGCCCTCCTGCCTGGGGAATCCGAATGTTAGGCTGCTCTGTCCCCCACCTCCTTCTACCCAGGCAGGGCCAGGTGAAGTAACTGGACTTGGAGCCTGGAACGTTGAGAAAAAGCAGAAGTAGCAGATAAGTAGGTGCAGCAGATTAGCATCAATGGCCAGCTTTAAGAAGCATTTGGCATCAGGGATTCTAGGGGGTCATTCCCACCACAGGCCTTGAGGTGGGACGATCTATGCGCTATGCATGCTTATATGTGCGCTCCTCCCTACCGCCTGTAGGGTGAGGGTTTGTAACTTGCATCAAGCGCCGGAAGAGTCCACATTCCAGAGGTCAGTAGCCCTTGGTATTTATGAAGGACAACTCACTTCTTTTTTTGCTTTGCCGTTTTATTGAGTGTAAACTGTACTATGCCTGTATATGTGAAGGAAACCTTTCCAGCCCTGCCCAACTCATTTGTCTCTTGTGTAAGGGGCCTTATTTAGACTTTATTGTTTTCCCTCTATATGCCAAGAGCTGCCCAGTGAATCCTGCAGCCCCCTAATGTGAGCTCTGAACCTCAGAGATTGTTGGGGGACAAATCACAGGTCGTTGTGGGTTTCCAGGGCGCCTTTGTGCTCCAGAGCCCCTCTCCAAGGCTGGGTGCTACTGCCCCGTCTTCAGTTACCCTGCCTCTCTGGTCGTTTTGTTTTTCTCACTGTTTCCAGCAGCACGTTTGCTTTAGTGTATAATACAGGGAGAGAACATGGACATAAAAAGGTTCTGGCATGATTATTAACCCCTCCAAAACAAAATCTGCAGTGACCCAAGTATTGTGAGTAGAGAAGAAACTTTCAGGTGATATCAGATTTACGGTGCACCATCCACACCAACTGTTGTGGAACTGGAAACATTTTAGATATCCCTAAAGGGGTGAGAGGTTTTTCTGTGGTCATGGAACTAAGTTCTATAAGATACATGTTGGCTTCAGCACCAATTGAGGCTTAGGGGCAGTAGTCACAAGCTTAATGAAATGTCCTAAAAGTCAGAGTGTGCTAGGCTCTGAACAGGAATGGATTCTTCCCAGAGAGCCATTTGTTGTATTTCTTTAATCAAGCTTTTTCTGTTCTTTCCCCAGAGTGACTTTCCAACCAGGATGTCCCTTGTGGTCTGATATTTGTTTTCAAGACAACTCACTGAATGACTGGGAATTGGAAACAGAACACGGGAACAAGACACAAATCCAAGAGCCAGCAGGCCCGGGACCTTCTTGGGCCACCACCTTGGAAGATTTGCTGATCTTTGCTTTGGCAAGGGATGGGGGGCAGCCTTTAAGGGAGGCTGAGTCCAAACCTCAGTGCCCATCTAACTAGTTTGAGAAACTTACCAAGAAAACAACTACAGGTGAACACATTCCCACACGTGGAGTTTATCACCCAGAGTTCTTCCTGCCCTGTCTCCTCCCTTAGCCAAACCAGGATCCCTTTTCCATTTCTGAAAGAGAGTTAGCTCTGGACTGCTAATCTCCAGATAATGCCTGTGCTACAGGCTGCTTTTCCATACCTCCTGTGCTGTGCTTAGAGACAGAGTCGATTACTACTATTAGAAGGCCTTTACCCACAGCAGAAGATAGCTTCAGGCAAAATACACCTTTTAGCCCCGTCACTTCCCAGTCACTAGTCAGTGACGGTTGTTACACTGCAATCAGGCCTGTGGTGAGCTCAGTGACCATGACCTGCCGGACAATCACAGAAATGACTTCAATTTGCTGTTCTGAATGACAGTTCTTGGCTGGAACAAAACAAGAGCTGTCGAAGTGGTATTTCTTTCTCCATTCTAAGAACACGAACTGCTTTTTCTCTCTTGTCATAGCGATGTGAGTCTTGGACATCAAGGGCTCTTCTCGTCCTCCCCTTTCCTGGGCTGTCCACAGGTTGGTGCCACACACAGAGCCCCGTGTCCCTCTGCACTCTGATTAGGTTATCATCAGGTGCCTTTTGATAAATGCTGAAGATACGCATATGAAAGAGAAGAGAGGAAAAAAAGAGGAGAAAAGAATAATGCAAACGAAAGAAAAATGAGAAAGAATCTAAGAAGAAAAGAATGTATGGTCTCACTATATGTTGAATATGGGCCATTTCCTCCACAGGCTCCGCTGGCTCTTCTGTGTGTTTTATACGTCATTTACCGTGAGTTGTTCCTGCCCATCCCAGTTTCATCACTCCAGGACACCTGAGTGTGGAGCGGGCATCACCAGGCTGCCACTCTAGATGCTCTTGGGAGATGAGGGATACTGCTTTCTCAGGAAGGAGCACTTCCTACTCCGTGTGTGCATGCTAAGTCACTTCAGTCGTGTCTGACTCTTTTCAACCCCATAGACCATAGCCCGCCAGGCTCCTCTGTCCATGGGATTCTCTAGGCAAGAATACTGGGGTGGGTTGCCAAGCCCTCCTCCAGGTGATCTTCCCAACCCAGGGATCAAACCTGCTTCTCTTACGTCTCCTGCATTGGCAGGTGGGTTCTTTACCACTAGCACCACCTGGGAAGCCCTTTTCTATTCCCACCCCTGCCTAAAGGATAGATTTTGCCTAAATCTCAAATCCAGGTCTCTTTGGATTTCATAATTTGTATAGATTGTTTAAATTAAAAAAAAAAAAGCTACAAACTCTTCCCTTCGCATCAAGAAGTGCAGTCTATTTCTCAACCCCTTGAATTTGGGATTGGCCATGTGATTTGATTTAGCCAGTGGCCTAATAACAGATGTGACAGAAGTAGAAACTGACAGATTCATGTGCATGAGAAAGTTCGTCCTCTCTTGCTGCTTTGGGGAACCTTGCATCACCACCAGGTAAATTAGCCTGGCTGGCTTGCTGCATGATGAGAAAAAGGGCCCAGTCACCCCCATCACCCTAACTGGCAGCCTATCAGCTCTCAGCTGATTGCAAACATGAGTGATCCCAGCCAAAACCAAAAGAAGAACTGCCTAGCTGAGCCCAGCCCAAATTGCTGATTGTAACTCAAGGCATGAGAAGCTGGTCCACTGTTTAAATGTTCATTTTTCTTCAAGGAAAAAGCTGACTTTTTTTTTTTCTTGTCTGAATATTTAACCCCCAAACTCCAGACTCTGTCTAACCTTAGACTGCGAGTCCCTACTTTCTTTGACAGACTTTTGTCAAAGCTTTCCACCCCACACTCTTGTGATGGGATACTTGTTTAGGTCAGATCACTGCTTGGTCGCTCTGTCCCTCTGCTTCAGCAGTGCTCCATCCTCTGTCTGTGGATCCATGGACAACTGCTGGAGAAAGTTTCTTCCTGAGCATCTCTTTGGTCTTCTCTGGAACCACCTGACTGGGGCTAGGTCCTTTTCTCAGAGTACCATTGCACTGATGTCCATTTAATTCATGGCATTTCCAAACCAGTTCTGTGTGTGCAATGAAATAAATAAGTGGCTGGGTGAGGGTCAAAAGGATGAGTTGATATCATTGCTGGGGGTAGAACTGGCCTGCCAAAGGACTTCATAATGGCCTTGGCCTGTATGAGTTGAACCAGGAGGACAATTCAGCCCACTGCTGGCACTTCCAAGGGCTGGAAGACACAAGCCATAACCCTGGTGCTGAGTTTTTAGACTCACTAGTGTCCTTGTCGTCCGAAAGCCTAGGTCTCATCTGTCTGTTTGGGCCCCATTTCCACTGGAAAAGATGATTAAAACACCAATTCTTAGTCACCAGCTTTGGATTTTAAATTGCTCAGGCAATTTTGGAGAATCTTGGGTAGCTGAAGTAGTTATTATTTCTTTATACTGAGCACTGTGTCAGGCTATTCACCACCAAAGAGCCCCATAGCACCAGCTGCAGAGACCAAAAATACTGCTTTCGTTAGCCGGGGGCATTTGTGATTTTGGTGAAGGGAACCATGGGCAAGAATTAAAATCGGAAACCTGAAGGCAACAAAACAACCAGCAGACAATAAAAAATAGATGATAACAGGTTACTGAAATAACCTGGGTATATGGGACCAGGTTGTCCTCGGAAGGGCTGCGTACATCACTCAGACCTCCAGGTTTCTGGTCAAGAGAGCAAACAGTCATTTCTGGGTATGTGGACAGGAGATAAGTCTGACCTGACAAGTAAAGGCAAAGCTGGCCATCCTCAGCACCCTGGCTTTTCTCAGCACATCCTTCTGTTCCTTTCCCCCTGACTAGTCCTGTGTAGAAAGTGCTTACACATGTTAGCTTCCTTCCTTTGTTTTATTGGGGGTAAAAGATTAGGGTTGTGTAAGACAAGATCTCTGTCCATGCATGCGTGTGTGCTCACTCACTCAGTCGGGTCCCACTCTTTGCAACTCTATGGACTGTAGCCCGCCAGGCACCTCTGCCCTTGGGATTTCCCAGGAAAGAATACTGAAGTGGGTCACCATTTCCTCCTCCAGGGGATCTTCCTGACCCAGGGACTGAGCCTCATCTCCTGCGTCTCCTGCTTTGGCAGTTGGATTCTTTACCACAGCCACGTGGAAAGCCCACTCTGCCCATGGGGACCCTGCAACTGAACAGAGGAAACAAGAAATCCCCAAGAAAGAATTGGGAGATTTTATACGTATAATATGAAATATCGCTATGGATAAATTACCACAAACCCAGAGAATTAAAGTTTTTTTATTTAAATGGGTATATTTTGATATCTAAGTGTTGTGTGTATTTGTCCATTCATCCTATTTAAAGACATGCTTAGTGATCTGAAAAGCCAGTATTGAAAAATCTGAGCTGAAAGAGGTGAGTTAGAACGGGGAGGGGTGAGAGGCAGAGGGCTGAGTAGGATGATGCCGGAGAGTGTTTGCCTGTGAGTCACAGCTGAGTCAGGGACGTGTTGGGTGAGGGGGCAAGGAGGCAGGTGCCAGGCAGATGAGCTTCTCCAGTTTCTCATGCAGAAACTCATGAGGAAGCCGGAGCATTTGCCATGGACCTGGCGCTCATGGGGCGCTCTCCATCTGCTCCTCCAGGGGTTCAGTTCTGCGGCCATGTAGTGTTGCTGCCCACCTTCACTCACACACGGAATATCTTGCAGAGATGATGGTTCTCCCATCTCCCTTTCCACACCAGGCAGACTGTGCAAACTGGGCATGGGAAATGGCTGTCACTCTAGCCTAAGAAACATCTAGACCTAGCCACACCTGTAAATATTTCTAGTCTGAAAGACGTCCTACAGTAATCCAGTCAGACCTTAGGCAGCCTCTGAGAGAGGCTGAGGCCACGGATTGTGTTGTAACCCAGCCCCTCTCTTCTTTAAAGATGGAGAAATAAACCACCGCTGCCATTAGTGAAGTCAAAACCCTAACTGAGTCTTTTCTTTGGATTAGCATTTTCCCAAATTGTCTAACCATATAAGTTACCTGGTTGCTGCTAAAAATGTAGTGTTGGGCCCTGCCCAGAAGATTGATAGGATGGGGCTGGAGCTAGGATTTGTACTTTTAACACGCATTTCAGGAGAGTCCTGTGATCACATGTATTTGGAAAATCTTACACTAGATCATACCTCATCATGTGCCCCAAACACTTAGTCCTGAGGGTTCCTTGGGCTTCGGATATTTTTCTTCAGATGTCCTGGTACAGTCGCTCACACTCCCTTGGGCCTGACAGTGGAGAAGCCCCCAGCAGTCTCACTAGAATGGCAGTGACTGGCTTACCAGGGTCCCGCGGTAGGAGCACTGTGCAAGGCAGAGAGAAAGGATGGCTAGGAACCCACCCTGGGAGGCTGTTCTCAATGCTTCCAGTCCTGGAATAGAGATCCTGTCGTGACAGTCTCAGATCTGACAGGAATTGCAGGTAACTTCCTCATTCCCCTGATGTCATTCTGAGCAAAACTTAGATCATGAATAGAAAGAAACAAGACCTTGGGGGAATGGCAAAAAGAAATCATTTTTTGAAAGATTCAAATCGCAGCCTGACTGGTCAACACTTTCTCCTTAAGACCCAAATTGAATGAGCAAAAATAATGAAATCTATGTTACATATCCTTCCAACATCAGATTTAAATGTTGCCACAATCTTACAGGATTTTGAAATTGATTTATAGAATGTAGAGATCCAAATTCACCAAAATGGGGGCCAGGTACTTTTAAAAAGTGCCTAGTTTTTTCCTGTCAGGATCCTTCCTCCTTTTCACCTGGAAAACTGTTCAATGAAGCTTCGAGTAAGGGACTCTTAATGTGAGGATGGAGCAAGGATAGTGTGAGCTGCTTTAAGCAGCAGCCTGAGTGTTAGCACTGCCGGAGGGTGATAAGAATAAAGTTTGTATTTTTTCTATGGTGTATTACTGTTTACAAAACACTTTCACATGCATTATCTCATTGATTCCTCACAGTAATCTCTATGGTAAAGGCAGGGTGGATATGCTGGTCCCATCAAACATACTGTAAAAACTGAAACTGACAAAGGTCAAGTGATGTGCCTATTGTCAAATGACTTTTTAAATCGTAGAGTCAGGCCTTCTGACTGTCTCTCAAGGATTCTTTCCTCCCTACAATACTTGTGGGACTGGAATCAGCCCAACATCTGGGAGGAGAGTCCTGGAGGTGATGCTCACTCATGACATCACTGGAATGAACCTGTGGAGACAAGCGCTGTGGGTTCTTCATCTTGCCAAGCATCGGCCCTCAAATGCTGCTGTGAGAGGAAGTCAGTTCTACTCAAGGAGACTTTCATTAGCCATGCTGGAGTTGAGAAAAGGTTTTGATAAAAATGTGCTTTAGATTTTAGAATCCTTCCTGAGAAGGAATTTCTGAGCCAAATAACAAATTCCTGTAGACTCAGAGTTCCAAGGCTTGGGGTGAGGCTCGATACAGGTCCATATAGTCTGGCCCATTTCTTTTGGGAAGGCTAAAAGAGCTACAAATAGCTTGTCTCTTACCTTGGCTTCCAAAAAAGTCACTCTATATTAACAAGTGTATTAAGCACTATCCAATGAAACTTTTCTTTGTGGGAATAAAGGACAAGGCAATAGAAGTGGCAACAGGACAAGAAAGGTCAGAAAGCCACTTCAGGATAGTTGCCTGCCCAGTTGTTTCTGAGCCTTGTCTGTGGCATCAAAACTGAAATGTCTGTATCACTGTTACCCATGACTTTTTTTCCGTATCAGACATATAAAGTGAATTTCGTTGTAATGTTTAAATAAAGCGTTTTCACCTACATTGGTTATTAAGAACTCATGATTTATCATAACTATGTTTAATCATGATCTGTCATCAAATGATCTAAATAGAAAAAAAAAATCATACAATACATGACCTCCTCAGATTTTCTTAAGTACTGTAATGGAGAACGAACACTGCTGGACTAGAGGCAAGTACTGACAAAGTGCAGTGTATGTTTTTATAGATTTTAATAAGCTTTCTGTGGCCACTCTCACCAGTCTGCACAGACTAACACTCAGGAGGTGAGGAGTAGGACAGATGATGGGACAATGGGATGGTTCTTAATTCATTTGCAAAAAGGGTCCAAGCATTTGCCTGCTAGAAATGGCATTTGGGGAAGGGAAGAAGGAAACCGTCTTTGGAAGATGAAATTCTGAGGAGGTTTGGAAAATTCCACAGCATCATAATTTAGAGAAGGCAGCTTAAAACCTTTGTTAGCAAAGTGAAAGTTG